TTTCCCTAATTCTATAATTGGCATTCTGGATGCTTGTGGGAGCTGAAAACATGGAATTTGGATAACTAAAGTGTTTCTGTAGTTGTCTGAACTGTCAGGCGTTTGTAGAACATAAGACAGAAACTTTTTCAAGCACAACTACACACTCCAAACCCAGAATGCCAGACAGACTTGTGCAGCGTCACTCCACTAAAGGAAGATGGTTTCGGAATAATTTCCACATAAGAATCCTCTTTTCCGCAGTAATTCTCAAGGGCCAGACCAGCTGTGCTCCATTATCGGTTAATGCTTAATTTGTGCATTATTTTTATTTTTTCATTTTTAAATGGAAATAAAAGTTATGTAACTTGGTTGGGTTAAAGTTTGGCAGTTCGCAGTCTGCATCTGACCTCCAAATGAGATGAGAGGTTTCTAGGGATTGGGGTCTTCCGAATAGATAAAATTAAAAGAAATCAACTGGAAAACCAGTCCGGGCTCTGCCAGGAACTCCAGGGCTCCCCTAGGTTTTGTGAGGCAAGAAAAACAAGGAGGGCGATGGTGATGCTTGCTGATTTATGTGCTTCTGCCAAGAAAATTCCACTGTCAAACTGACGGCTACTGACAGCAGTTGATTCAAGCCTGTTTCTTTGGAACGGAGTTTTAGAATACCAGGTACAGAACAAGTCACAGTGGGAAATCATGGAGCCAAGGGTGAGTGATGACTGTGAGGCTGTGACCTGGCTGTGGGACCCACACGGAAGGTAGTATTTCCTTGGATGGCTGCTGCCCTTACATACTGCCTGCATTGTTTTATTAGCAAAATAGGCACAGAAAGGCTTTCCTCAAATCTGAACTGTACCTCCTCTGGCCTGACTCAGTGAAAGGAGTCACTTAACACTGATGCTTTGCCTAACTGATGGTGGGGCCTTGAGGTGGTCACCTCGCCTCTCTGGATCTCAATCTCCTTATCCGTAAAATAAAGGATCACTCTAAATACTCCCCATAATAATTCTTTCTAAATTGAAATCTCTAAAGCCAATGGAGGGAATTCCCTGGCAGTCCAGTGGTTAGGACTCCATGCTCTCACTGCTGAGGAACTGGGTTCAATCCCTGGTCGGGGAACTAAAATCCCACAAGCCACATGGTGTGGCCAAAAAAATAAATAAATAAAGCCAACGGACACATACATTCTAAATGTGCATACAAGACATTTCTCTCTGCTACATTTTCTCATTGCTTCTCATGACATCTAAGCATAAATATTGACCTTTTTAATAAAAGAATGCTATTTTTGACTCTACTTAATGAATCTTTGTGAAGGCAATATTTAATTTTTAGAATGTTTTTTGAGTTAAAAAGTAAAAAGACCCTCCAGTGACCTTGCCCGCCGGAGGCTCCACCTACCAATATCCCCTGGCTCTAGTGGCATCGCCATGGACTGGCAATGTCTTCGGCACTGGAAGGGAGGGATGAGTTGCAACATGGCCTCACCGCTGCCAATGGTAAACAGGTCATGCATCCTGTGCATCTGGAGGAAAAGACATGGGGCAAGAAAAGGAAGGAAAGGAAAACAAAATAAAACCTCGGAACATGGGACAGTAATACACAAAAACTCTTACACACATGGCTCTGAGCTTCCTCACAGCCTAAGCAAAGAGGAAAACAGTACCATGAACACAATTCACAGTTACATCCAAAAGACAAAAACAAACTAGTTTCTCCTAAGTATGGCATCTCCCGGTACTGAGACCAGGGTAATATTTCTTCTATGGTTTTTCCTAAAGAGACATCGTGTAGTTTTGTGGGCACCATCCTCAATGACAGCCCTGTAGCAGAAACGGCACGAGCTTCATAATTCACAACTATTTCTAGCCACAGTTTCAAAGTAGGTCAAAGGCAAAATATCTAATTGTATTTTTTTTTTTTTTTGCAGGCTCAGAGGCAATGGCTCACGAGCCTAGCCGCTCCGCGGCATGTGGGATCCTCCCACACGGGGGCACGAACCCGTGCCCCCTGCATCGGCAGGCGGACTCTCAACCACTGCGCCACCAGGGAAGCCCTATCTAATTGTATTTTAACAAAAGTCTAGCAGAGGCCAACACGTGGTGATCTAAATAGGCAATCTTCTGAGGGTCTGGTTTGACCCAGATAGATAGTGTGCATATCCTTCGGACAACGGTCCATGGAACATTATCACTTACTGTTAGGCTTTTGACAGCAGCAAGTTCAAGTTTATACTTTTTGTCAAGACTCAGGTGAGCAGATACATGATGCTACTGATTAAAAACTAATGACAGTAAGATCAGCCTCTGATTTTGAAAGCTAAGGAGATAACCAGGATATACACCTACACAGGTAACTACTGCACTGCTGAGGGCATAATACTGCTACCAACAGGCATTAAGTGCAACCTGCTGTGTACCAGGTAGAGCTGTGAACCCTGGGGTTGGGGAGGGGCAGGGAGCAGAGATAAAGGGAGAGGTTGGTCTTGCTCAGGCTTCTCTTCCTGTCTAGATGGTGAGAGAAAACCCTAGTGTCTCCCGTTCCCTCCCCTCTTCCCCCTCCTCCCAGCCCCTGCCCTCTAGGGAAGCTCTTTATATGCCCTTATAAAGCAGGGGTAAGAAGTCTGACTCCCTGGGCCACGTCCTGGTTTTTCCTTCACCGCTTGGGTCCTCTAGAGCCTTGGGATGTGGCCCTATCTTCTCCTGCTTCCCAACCCTGGTCTCTTGGTTGCTCCCACAGGCCCTGGCCATGACTCTGTGTCCATGGAAACGCTAGAGCCATTTCAACTGCTGCTATAGTGACAGAAGGAGGACTAGTGCCTTGAGCTGGCCTGTGACTGACTGGTAGTAACACTGGCAGAAGCCCTGACATATGCAGTCTTGAAAAAATCCCAGAAGACAAAAATAAGCGGATGTATCTCTGTTTCATATAGGCCTGAGAGGGGGTGGGACCATGTTCCTCCACATTCAGGATGAGGAGAAACTGACAACGGGATGGAGTGGGCCAGCCCTAGGCAACACTGTGGGGTGGGTAAAGTGGGCCTTGGAGCCCCTCACCTCTTCCCCCAGGGCCTCTCAACAATCAGCCCCCACTGCTTATCTTCTATCCCAAGGCTGCCTCTTGGATTCTGGGCCCACAGACATGTGACTTTACCAGGGTCCAGGGCACAGGGATGTAGACCAAGGGCGGAGTAACAAGGCTGTGGAGGAAGGACAGCCTGGGCCAGGGTGGGGAACAGATGCTCTAAGAAATCAGACTCTCAGGATTTTGGCCTATTTGGGCCACTCCCCTTCCCAAAACATCCTTGAGAACTGCAACATGATGACTCTGACAGTCTGTGTAACTGTGTATTTAACCCTTTGGCTGGGCTCCTTGGTGTCCCTTGTTAAGCAGACTGGTGAAATTAGCTTAAGGTTCAAGTGGGAAAACCCAAGATAAAGATCAAGGCCCTCACCCAGAATTATATCATAATTATGAAGATGAAATCATACTAGGGCCCCGAGTTCTAGCCAAAGACGGCAGGATAAACTTCTTTAAAATCTGAAGCAACAGCCCAGCACCTCCACCCTACAGCTGGCAGACAGCAAGTTCTTACTTCTAGATGGAATGATTGTTTTTAAAGGCTTTGAAATTCCTTTAACACGATTCAGCAAATTGGAGCCAAACAATAGTGTCAGGAGGTTAAAGACACAACCCAGAGTTGGTAGGGGTCACAGTTGAGCAAATTTAATTTTTCAATAAAGGAAAATTCATCCTTTTAATTATTCCAAACCAATCCAGGCTCAAAAACCTTCTTCAGGAATGAGACTCAAAAAAAGAGCAATTCAGAGAAAAGTAAACAGACACAAACACAGAACAGCTATGCCCAGTCCGCTGGCCCCAGAGACGGTAAATGTGGGCTCTGGGTACTTGGCCACGGACTGAGGTGAGAACCACTGCCACACACACTGGGCTGCCTGCCTCAGGCACAGGCTTATCAGCCCTTTTGTTCCCAAACCTCTCCATGCTCCCAAGCTCTTTGCTTTCCCGGTTCTCTATCTGAAGTTTCTCATTTGTTTTATTCTGGGGAAAGCCAACCTGGGAGTGGAGGGTGAGGAGAGACCTCTTATTAACTTGCTGTGTCCTTGGGCAAATGACTTAATCTCTCCGGGGCTCAGTTTCCTTCTCTATAAAATGAGTAAGCTGGACTATTCATTTACATACTATTCATTCATAGTCTGCCTGCTTTCTACTTGGAGGTAGGGAAGTCAGACTAACAGGATGCTCAGGACCCTTCAAATTTTAGGATTTTACTTCCTTTAATATAGAAAAGTAACTTGCCCCCAGGTGTTAAGGGCAGGAAATACATCTGCAAGGTAACTAGACTTTCTGTAAGCGTGTCTTCAGTAAAAAGTCAGGTCTGTTGGCAAGCAGCAGGAGGAGAGAACTTTAGATTATGTGACTGACCCCTCAATTCACCCCCTAAGTTGACACACAGGGAAGGCTTTATGACATCAGCCCAGGTACCAAATGAGAAAAACTCTAGAGCCAAGTCCTCTCAAAATTTCCTACCTTACTCCCCACAATAGGTTCTGGTTGAAGAAGGAAGCACTTTTTCAAGGAGGCTTCTTTTGGAAACGGCAGGTAAGTGAACACAGGAAAAAGCTCACGTAAAAGGTGTGATCTGTTCAGAGGTCTTCTCCTGTAAAATGTGTAAAAGAGAAAAATGCAGTTAAACTGGGAAAGCCAGCCTAACTCCGTGACTAACAGAGAGCTCGGCAAGGGTGGGAAAACTGTGGGCGGTGGGTGAAGAGGGAAAAATGTCAGGACAGTATCTGAAGTATTAGGTCCATGAAGAACAGTCACGCCAAATCAATTAATAGTAAAACGTACACACACACCACAAACTCTACTGCCATGATTTGTCTGTGTGGGTGGGGTGTTTATAAAATCCAGCTAAAACAACATATAGGGGGAGAAAAGAAACACTCCATTCACCCTCTCTTGGCAAAGAGACTGAAGTAACAGCAGACAGGGCAAGAGAGAAGACGGGAGGAGGAAGCAAAAATCGTGAACCTTCTGAGGTGGAGCAGCATGAAGTAGGAAGCCTGTATCAGCTTGTTACACCGAGTATTTGATCATGTAAATAAACGACAAATTTAAAGAAAGGCAGAAGCACAAAAATCATCCAACAAAAGGCCTGAAAAAGCAGTTTTAATTCTCTTTGGAATGGTTCTAGAAGTAAACTGGCCTTCCTTTTCTTCTAGAACACAACTTTCACCTGAAGAAACAGACCATGTCTTCTATAGGACACAGCAAGGAACAAGGAGATAGACCTGGGTTTCAGTTCTGGCTGGGTGACCTTAAACAAGGTACTTAACCTCTCTGATTCCCACTTTTCTGATCTGAAAAATGACAGTGATAATTCCTACTTCCCAGAGGTATTATGAGCATCACCAACGAGTAACAGATACTCAGTACCAAGGCACACAGCCTGGCTGCCAAGAAATAACTTTCCCTCTTATTTGTGCTCTCTCTGCAGTCCTCAATGCTCAGGACCCACTCAGCATGAACACAAATGCTAAACACATACTTAGAAGTAAATTATGAGTCTATCAGGCAATCTTGGTGTCCACCACAGTGGTGCCCCTCTTGACACACCTCTTTGGACTCACCCACTTTCTCTCTCATCAAGTTTGCAACAGTGCACTCCTGAGTATCATTTGACTTGAAGGGTGTATTGTAAAGTGCTTGCACAGTGCTGGGCATAGCAGCGTCCTGGCAGTAATTATCCATAGTACCGTTTTGACATTTGGTCTGCCCCCTCTCTGCACACATGCACGCTGAGTGGCCCTTTCCACACTCACCATGGGTAACGAAACGGGAACCACCGTTCAGGAAAGCAGCGCCACCACTTGGTGAAAAACCCTTCGGTGAAGCCTTCTGTCACCTCAGGGTACTGGCACAAAAAACGCTGAAGCCCCTCAGATGACAGGGGTTGTCCGGTCTTGGCAAGGCAGAAAACAAAAGTGCAACAAGACAACACGGAATTACTAATCACAAATGTCACAGTGCTTGTTGTTTCCTAGCCATTAAATGGGTAATCGATCAGTGGGAGAATCTGCCTTCTTGCTCACCTTGATCACCAGAGGATGGAGTCTCTCAAATTTCCTTGGGGTGTCTTCCAGGAGCATCACCTTGAGGGGTAATTTCTGGGCACAGCCGGTGCAGTTGGCAGGGATGGGGTCCGACTCATTCTGCTCACACTCATTGGTCCACCAGGAGTCAAAGTCTGAGAGAGGAAGGGATATGGAGAAAGCAGATAGAGCAGGTAAATCTAGTCGCCACAGCAATGGAAGCAGAAAGACATAAGAATAATTTTAAAAGCTAACAGTGATAAGCGCATGTGACTTCTGAAAAGGTACATATCAAATACATTAACCCCAGAGAAGGGAACAGAGGGCTTAGGGGCCAGAGGTGTAAAGGAGAGGTACTTTTCTCTGTATACTCTTCTAGGGTTTGTGGAAAATATTTTTTAACACATACAAGTATCTCCTAAGTCAAATCAACAACTGAAGTCGAACAGTTTGAGGAGCTATATTCGGAGACATGGGAGTTCTTCCACCATTTTCTAACCTGCAATCCATAGGTCTGACCCAGCTACAGCACATGGGGGAGGGGCAGGCAGGAAGGGTGGTCCCATCATCAGTGATGAGCCCCTCTGCATGCATGTCTTCTCTGACACCCTAGGCCCTGGGTTCACAAGCACAAGTGGAGGCCAGGATGGCTCTGGGGAGGAAAACTGAGAAAAGGGCACAGACAGTAGGGATGGAAAGGAGAGACAGGACTTTTCAGGGGCCCATCTTTGGAGTAGAGTGAACTGCATCTGCCTGTTAGCACTCTGTCCGAGCTCAGGGTGGGTAGGGGCTACTAACCATGGTTTCTAGCCCCAAGAACTGCAGATTGGTCAGAACTAGAAGAATGCCCCACCCAGACCCTGATGTGACAGCTTGCTGGCTCCCCACACCATTCTCTGGTCCTTCTCTGAGGGGTTGGCTCTGTTTCTATGCAGCTCTTCTCGGTTCCTCTGTGTTCCTTCCCTCTGAGACTATTCTGTTCATAATATTATTACATTATTTCTTGTTTGCTTTCCATTCTGTTCTGGGTTTCACCTGTGTTCCCTGAAATAGATGTTTCTTTCTTTTTTTTTTTTTTTAAGATGAATTTTCCCCCAATATTTTATTATGAAAGATTTCCAGAATACAGTAAAGTTGAAAGAATTTTACAGTAGATATCAGTATATCCACTACTTAGGTTCTACCATTAACATTTTACTATGCTAGTTTTATCATATATCTATCACTGTTACTTTATTGCTTACAGAAGGGATTTAGAGAGACAAGTAGTAGCTTTCTAACCAACAACTTCCTGTTCTGAGTCACACATAAAAGTTAAAGTATAGTAGACAGTACTGTATTGGTCAAGAAAGAGTTGTAACTGTTCACATGTGTTTCAAACAAGTGGGGCTTTTCAAATACCTCAACTAACAAATCACCATCTCCCTCTAGTTCATTTAAATGTTCATATTTTTACTCATTTGATTAGTAGTAAAAGAACTGAGGTATTTAATGTTAAATTGCTTTATATTAAATCATTACATATAATTGAGTTTGTGATTGACTTTATTCACAACTAATCCTAAGGGACCAGATACAACATAACCATATAGCACTTTAATTTTAGTATTTGAAGCATACATGCTGGGGGGCTAATGTAATATAGCAGGTCTTTTGAGTGGCCATTGTTGACTGCCCAGAATCCCAACATCTCAGTTTTCTTGAATCTGCTATAGTTAATAGAGAACATTTCATGTAAAAAAAGTATGCTAGAGAATTGAGATAGATGTTTCTGATAAACTCTAATTTGAATCCAAAATGTTTTACCAGATGGTTTCTGACTAAAACCCAATGGAGGGCTTCCCTGGTGGCGCAGTGGTTGAGAGTCCGCCTGCTGATGCAGGGGGCACGGGTTCGTGCCCCGGTCCGGGAAGACCCCACATACCGCAGAGCGGCTGGGCCCGTGGGCCATGGCCGCTGAGCCTGCGCATCCAGAGCCTGTGCTCCGCAGCGGGAGAGGCCACAACAGTGAGAGGCCCGAGTACCGCAAAAAA